AAAAAAAAAAAGGGGCTGGAGAGTGGCCTGGGCTGAGTGTGGCTGGGGGTCTGTGGGTGCTGGGGTGGCACCGGCCCGAGGGCTCTGCGGGGCCGGTCTGTGCCACGGGGCCCCCACGGTGACCCCGTTCCCAAATCCCACTTTTCCCTGCCGTGGCAGAAGCGGGATATCCAGCTGCTCAAGGCCTACATGCGGGCGATCCGCAGCGTCAACCCCAACCTGCAGAACCTGGAGGAGACCATCGAGTACAACGAGATCCTGGAGTGAGTCCCGGGGCTGGGCGGGGGGAGCTCCACGTCGGGGGCAGAGGGGACTGGGAATCTGCCAGCGTGGCTGAGGGACCGGGGAGGGGGTGAAGTGCCTTCTGACGAGAAGGAAATGGTTCACAAGAGGGAGGAGGGGAGTTTGTGCTGGGGGTGGCACATGAGCTGCTCACACAATGGGTCTGGAGTGTTATTGTTCCACCTGCATCCTGCCCACCAACAGGAAGCTGCCAAATTCCTTCCTCCTTGGGAGAAAGGCTGCTGGAGGAAGCAGCTCCTTGCTCCTCCTCTCTCCCCTCCCTGAAGGGAGGGATTGTGGAGCTGATTGAAGCAGCCTGGGATGAAAACAGGAAGGGAAGGTGGGGAAGTTCAGTGTTCCCCATGCAGGCTCACTCCCAAGCACAGAGCACCCAAAACAGAGCCATTCCCCAGCTCTGGGGGAAAATTGTGATTGTAGCCAGATGGGGATGGGCCTCTTCCCCCAGGTAACAAGTGACAGGACAAGAGGAGGTGGCCTCAAGCTGCCCCAAGGCAGGTTCAGGTTGGAAATCAGGAATGATTTCCTCGTGGAAGGTGGTGTCAAACTAAAACACAGGAAGTTCCACCTCCACATGAGGAAGAACTTCTTTCCATGGAGGGTGGCAGAGCACTGGAACAGCTGCCCAGGGAGGGTGTGGACTCTCCCTCTCTGGAGACATTCCAAACCCTCTTGTGTCACCTTCTCAAGGTGACTCTGCCTTGGCAAGAGAGTTGGACTGGGTGATCTCCAGAGGTCCCTTCCGACCCCAACCAGTCTGGGGTTCTGTGACTGCAACCCCCCCACTGCTGAGCTGTGTCTGGCTCTGGCCCAAGGGTTTGGGGCCACAGTTCCTTCCAAAGAGGCAGAGCTGGACTCCTGGGGTGAGGGGGTGATCCAGACACAGCAAAGGTCTGGGGACATCAGGAGGAATTTCTTCCTGGAAAGGGTGCCCAGGGAGGTTTGGAGTCCCCACCCCTGGAGGTGTCCAGGGAAGGCCTGGCCGTGGCACTCAGTGCTCTGGGCTGGGGGACAAGGTGGGGGTGGGGCACAGGTTGGACTCGGTGATCTTGGAAGGCTTTTCCAACCTCAAGGATTCTGGGATTCTACCCCAAACCCCCCTCCCCGTGTCCCCAGGTGGGTGAACTCCCTGCAGCCGGCGCGGGTGACGCGGTGGGGCGGGATGATCTCCACGCCGGACGCGGTGCTCCAGGCCGTCATCAAGCGCTCGCTGGTGGAGAGCGGCTGCCCCGCGTCCATCATCAACGAGCTCATCGAGAACGCCCACGAGCGGAACTGGCCGCAGGGCCTGGCCACGCTGGAGACGCGCCAGATGAACCGGCGCTACTACGAGAACTATGTGGCCAAGCGCATTCCCGGGAAGCAGGCGGTGGTGGTGATGGCCTGCGAGAACCAGCACATGGGCGAGGACATGGTGCTCGAGCCGGGGCTCGTCATGATCTTTGCACACGGAGTGGAGGAGATCTGAGGGATCCCGGGGACGAACGCCTCGAGGGAGAGGAGGGGGAAGGTGCAGAGGGGGGGAGGCCCAGGGAGGCCGCTCAGAACTGCGGGCGTTCCCTGGTCACCGACGTGGATTTTAGGGAACTGTCCCCTCCGACCTCTTGGTTCCTCAGTGACACGATTAAACCCCTCTGGTAAACCCTGCGCGGAGCTCGGCCGGCGCTGCAGCCCCTCCACGTCCCCCCTTTGCTTCCCCGTTCCGTGTCTTTCTTGGACAGAAGGAGCGATGGCTCCACACGCACTGCCAGACCCCTCGGGGGGTCCCCCAAATCCCGGCTCACAGTCCAGCCCAGACCCCCAGGACCAGCCCTGCTGCCTGGCAGCTCTCACTCATTCCATAGCCACTTCCCCCCCGGGATTTCTCACCCCCCTGGATTTTCCACCTCGCTCTCCGGTGTCTCTCCAAGCTTTGATCCGACCCCGCAGCAGCGGGAGCTGCTCCCCTCCTGCGGGTGGGGAAGGGGCTCGTCTTGGTGTCCCCAAACTGGGCACTGCCAGTGTCACTGACCCCGGAGCCAAACAGCCGCAGCCGAGTCCCTGGAGTGGGGGGTCCTCAGCCCTGGGGACCCCTCTGTCCCCCCCTTGCTCTGTGCATGCCCCAGCCCCTCTCCTCGGGAGCAGCCGTGTCCCCTCGGGCACCTCCCACCTCCCCTGGTCCTGCCCCGTGTTTGGCTCCGCTTTCTCCATTGTTGGTGTTACTTTTCCAGACACTTGTGATTGTGGTTCTGTATTTTTTTGTACCATTTTTTGGCCTTTTTTTCATTTTTATCCCCCCCTTTTATCTGAGTTTCAAAATACCATGGGCAGGCGCCTCTGGCCTGGTTCCTTGGGACTTGTTGGGAATTTAATTTATTTGCATTTGTTTTGTTGTTTTTTACCATCGTTTCTCCTCCGGTGTCGGTCCCAGCGGATCGGGCGGGAGGCAGGGATTGAAGTGATCAATAAACAGCGTTCTGGTTGCTTTATCGTTGCTTTGGGGGCCTCCACCTGCTCTCTGAACCCCTCCCCACCACGGGGTGCTCAGTCCCAGGGGAGAACTGGGTGGGTTTGGGGGTATCCTCCCCATCCTGGGGGGATCCAGGTATCCTGGGGGGTCCCCGAGATCAATAAATGTCACTGACGGGCTCCCACCGACCTGGGAGGGAACGGCCCCCACCGGGGGTGTGGCTGAGTGTCCTGGGGGGCTCCAGCCACGGGGGTGGCCCTGAAGCCCCCCAAGTGCGGTCCCCAAAAAGGATAAACCTGTCCCGCCGCTCTCACCGGTAAAAGACCCGGTGCCGGGGCTGGGAGGCTCCTCCTCGCTCCCGCCGTTAAAAGAGCAGGGACTGGAGGGGGCGTTCCCGTGGCTTTCGCCGTTAAAACAGCCGGTACCGGAGCTCCCGCTGCTGCCGCCGGTACGAGCAGGAACCGGAGCGTTGGGGGGAGTCCCCGCTGCCGCCGGTAAAGGAGCCGGGACCGGGGGAGGCCCCGCGCTAAAAAATACAGAGCGGGCGTCACGGACAGGATTCGAACCTGTGCGGGGAAACCCCATTGGATTTCGAGTCCAACGCCTTAACCACTCGGCCACCGTGACTCTCGCGCCTCCGTGCGCCGCGCTCCGCCTAGACCGGCCCGGGCCCGCCCCGCGCGGGATCCACCGGGGATCCACCGGGACCCGCCCGGGAGCTCTGCTCCGGGATCCACCGGGCATCGCACCGGGACCCGCCCGGGAGCTCTGCTCCGGGATCCACCGGGC